TTCTGGGACCATCCCCTGAACCTGCTTGGTCGGGTATTCTGTGTTGTTGGCGGAGCTCTCTGCTATATGTCCACCCGATCCGCCATCTTGTTTGTTCTCTCTTATGATACTTTTAATATTCTTCTCCAACACCATAACTAAAATGCATCAAGTCTTCTACATTCTTTCTTATTCACTGTCCAACTTTCACATGCATATGAGGTTATTAAAAATCCCATGACTTGGGTCAGGCGCACTTTAGACCTCATATTCACTTTAGCCCTCAACTCCCAAACCCACTGAATCCAGAACTTGGGGGTGGGTCCCAGCCATATAAGTTTTGAGGAGCCCTGAAGAGGACTCTTTCGCCACAGCAATCATTGAAGAATAGCAGCCATGACTGTGCACTACCTTATGGCTATTGGCCTCAACAAGGGCCATAAGAACATGAGCAAGCCGAGGCACCATACTGCTGTTGTGGGCTCCTCACCAAGTGCACCATGTTCGTGTGGGACATCATCTGGGAGGTGTGCCGATTGTGCCCTACGAGTGGTGTGCCATGGAGCTGCTCAAGGTCTCCAAGGACAAGCAAGTGCTTAAATTCATCAAGAAAAGAGTGAGGATGCAAATCTGCACCTAAAAGAGCCAGTAACACCCTGGCAACCATGAGGAAGGTGGCTTCCAGGAAGGACTGAGCACCTGGTCTCTATCCTCTGTGTCCTCGCCACCCCACCCCTCAAAAATAAACCTTTCCAGGGGAAAAAAATAAGATAAAAGAGGATTCTAGCCCTGAAAAGGAATCTGATGCTCCATCAAATTTGAGACCCCCGACCCAAGCATTTGTCTTAAATGGATATAACCTGGGGCAACAGAGGGTTAGTTAGTATATGAGTCTTGGAAATCCTCCTGAACTCAGTCAGAAATCTACTCCACACCCTCTGCCCACCTTCTGGGTAGTCTTAGTCTGTTTTCATGGCTTCTGACAGTCTGTGGAATCTGAGCTGTATGTTTAGTTCACTGTTGCTAAGTACCATTGAGTTGGTTCCAACCCATAGCAACCCAGTGTAGAATTTTCGAGGAGTGATTGGTGGGTTGAACGACTGACTTTGTGGTTAGCAGTCCAGTGCTTATCTACCAACTTCTTTAGTCTGAAATTATAATCAAGATGTATTGATAATAACTGGTGATTGGAATGAAAAGGTTGGAAACAAAGAGGAAGGATCAGTAGTTGGGAAATATGGCCTTGATGATAAAACTGATTCTGGAGATTGCATTATAGAATTTTGTAACACCAATGACATTAATTGCAAATACCTTTTTTGAAAAACATAAAAAGCAGTTATATGCATGAACCTCACTAGATGACATACATAGGAATCAAATCAACTGCATCTGTCAGAATAGACAGGAGAAAAGCTCAATATCATCATCCAAAACAAGGCCAAGGCAGACTGTGGAATAGACTAGACTATCAATTGCTCATAGGCAAATTCAGGCTAAAGTTGAAGAAAATTAAAACAAGTCCATGAGAACCAAAACATGACCTTGGACGTATCCCACCTGAATTTAGAGAACATTTCAAGAACAGATTTGATGCATTAGACACTAATGGCCATAGACCAGAAGAGTTGTGGGATGACATCAAGAATATCATATAGAAAGAAAGCAAAAGGTCATTAAAAACACAGGAGAGAAAGAAAAAACCAAAATGGGTGCTAAAAGAGATTAGGGAACTTGTTCTCCAACATAGAGATGCTAAAGCAAATGAGAGAAATGAGGAAGTAAAAAAGCTGAACAGAAAATTTCAAAGGGCAGGTTGAGAAGATAAAACATTATAATGAAATATGCAAAAATCTGGAGCTAGAAAACCAAAAGGAAGAACACACTCAGCATTTCTCAAGCTGAAAGAACTGAAGAAAAACATGCATCCTGCAATATTGAAGGATCCTAAGGAATCTTGGGAAACAGAACTGTAGGCTTCCTGGCCCATGGGCTGAGTACCTTTGGGCTGGCGTACAGGATGGGGTGCCCTTTTGTCACTTATCTGTAGGGATCAAGAAGCTTTGTAACACTTGCCTGAGGAGGGCAGAGCCCAAGGCACCAAATGTCTGAGATTGAGAAAGGCATGCCTAGGGGTACAGCTGAGAAGAGGCACTCTGACCAAGGAACTGCTGTATCTTGAATGGTTTCTGAGCCTGTTAACTTCCCTAATCAACCCCATAGTTGTGAGTATTGTCAATGAGTTCTGTGTAGCCATTGTGAGCAATAATCAAGCCCAGCAGGGAAGTAGAGTGCTGTGGGAGGGATGTTTGGTGTCAGAACAAAGAAAGTTGGAGGGTGGAGACATGTATGACCTCTGCCTCATAGGAATCAGCCTTAGACAGATGCTGGTAATTCTCCTCCTCCTTCCTTGTGAAACTGGAGGAGGTCAGATGTTGCCTCCATGCCATTTCTGTAAGGACCATTGTGATGAGAACAATTCCTTAGTGAAAATTTCCTGGTCTTTTTTCACTGGTTCAATTTTCAATTTTCTTGAAATTTCTTCTTAATAAGCCCCCATGACCATCTTGTGTGGTTCAAGAAAATCTATCAAGATTATACCTTTGGAATCCCAAATCACAGTCACCATAACCTTATGAGCTGACCCCTCTGCCTTGAATTTAACTTGCCAGGCAGATACCCTTTGAAGCCATTGCTTTGATTGTACCCTTTTTTCCCCCCCTGAAAGTACCATAATAAAACTAAGACAAGTAAGTATATTTCTGAGAGAACTTGTTTATAGAAATCCACTGATTACAGAGACATGCTTAAACATGTTTTGTGCGTGTATGAACTGGAACCCTAGTAGCAATGCTTTTTTCTCTTATGGTATTGTTTTTGTTGTTAACTAACGTCAAGTTGGTTCTGACTCATATCAACCCTGTATAGGGTTTCCGAGGAGTGGCTGGTGGATTTGAACCAGCCTTGCGGTTTAAACTGACCTTGTGGACTCCTCTCATATGTTAGGGATGACTGAAATCTAGTTGTAATCATTGTATTCTCTTGGATTAATTAGGATACCTAGACTTGTGATAAACTTCATAGAACTACAAACACTCATACATACAAATGAATTTGTGTAAAACGGGAAATCCAAGTGAGATCTGTATGATATCAATGCCAGTTTCCTGGTTTTAATAATTTACTGTAGTTTTATAGATTTCCTCTGTGGGTCTTTAGGGTAAGTATTGGACTGTAAACCATCAGCCACTCCTTGGAAAGCCTATACTGGGTCTCTATGAGTCTGAAATGACTTAACAGCACGTAACAACAACATAGTTATATAAGATATTCTTAGTAGGCGAACTAGGTGAAGGGTACACATGATCTTCTGTACTATTTTTGTGATTTCTAGTAAATCTAAAATTATTTCAAAATAGAAAAAATTGTAAAAGATACTTGGACTCTGTAAAATCCATTGTTGATGTTGTTGTTAAGTGCCATCGAGTCTACTCCAACCCATAGTGACCCAGTATAGGTTTTCCAAGGAGCAGCTGATGAGCCTGAACCACCAACCTTGCAGTTCAAACAACTTTGCAGTCTAACGCATTAGCCCATAGCGCTACACCAGGACTCCCATTAGTATAGAATATTTTAGGTTCCAGACATTTCTGTATTACCTATCATCTACTAACTTAATCATATGGTCCTTAAAATGTATATGTATATTTCATTAGTAACCAAATAACACAAAATTTTATTGTGTCCCCTGTTTCTGTTTTATAGATCTGAACGACCACCATACTCAGACTTACTGAGTACACAAGTGGGTCAGCATGTCACCACCTTAAAAGAACAAGATGATTCTCTCAGTAAAGAGGTAACTAAACCCTTTGAAGTTTTCACAGTCAAAACTGAGCACCAAGGAATGAAGGTTAATTTTTTAAAAAAATAAGTTTCAGTAAAAAGGTAGTGGTAAGAAAAGTAATAAGTGAGGTTTGTTTGACTTGGTTGTTGGTGGGGTTTTGTTTTTGGTTTTCATTTCTGATCCTAGACCTTTTGAACATTGTGTTTTGTGTAGGAATCCCAATTCCTGACATAATGACCATTCAAGTCCCAGGGATTAAAAATACCTACCACAACATTTTCAAGGCACTTAGAAGAATTGGTTTTCTGTCTCCACCCCATGCTTTAAATATATTGTATGTCATTCATGTCAACTCAGCAAATGTATGTTAATCCATTACTGCATACTGGTAACAGCCCAGATCCATTTGGGGAAAGAGATAAATAAAATGTGGCCTCCTGTTTCAGGAAATAATGCTTTCATTTGACATTGTGGAATGACTGTAGTAAGAAAATGTCAAAGAACATGGACCTTCATAGGCATGGACTTCCAGTGAGCCATCTGGAGGAGCCATGATGATGGACTTACTGATGGAGGGAGTGAAGAGGCATCTGAAGGGACCCTTAAAAGATTGACAGAATTTTGACAGGCTAATTCAGGAGCCCTAGTGACACAGTGGTTAGTCCCTCGGCTGCTAACCAAAAGGCTGCTCTGTGGGAGGAAGATACACCAATCCACTTCCATAAATATCACAGCCTTGGAAACAATATGGACAGTTCTACTCTGTTCTACTGTGTTGCTATGAGTCAGAATTGGTAAGCATACAGGGTGAAGGGCAAGGGCAACTGGGAAAGGGCTGTTGTGAGCAAAAGAATAGGCCAGGAAACCCAGCAATATCCAAGGAACAGGGCTGCAGGGCAGTACTTACATTTGGGGGTGCCCATGGTTATGAGATGAAGCCCAAGAGGTTGTTGTTGCCATTTGTACAGGGTTTTAACCCCTACACCAAAAAGTTTGAGTTTATTTAATAGATTTTGGAAAGCCATTTAGTTTGTTGAATAGAGCTATGTGATGATTTCTGCTGTATCTCAGAGAATTTCTTTTGTTTGGATTGAGATAGACAGTCAGGGAACCCTGTAAACAGTTCAGGCAAGAGGTAGGAGGGACCTGACTCAGGAACTGATACACAATTTGAAGATGGTGAATAGCAACTGAAGAAATAAATTCCCAAAGAAAGCACGAGAAGTGAACTCAGAAGCACAAATAGAGAACTTTCACATTGCAGTACTCATCGTACATGAGAAAACCCACATTCAGAGAGATGGTCTGTCTTCTCCTAAGTTGAATGTCTTGTTTCAAAGTGTATTTTCATTCTTATATATAATATAAAATTTTCTCACTTTGGTTTCTTCTTCCTTTCATCTCTTCACCTCCCTCTCTTATTCATCCTTCCTTCCTCCTTCTCTTCTTTCCCTCCCCATCTTCTTCCCCCTTTTCCCCTTCTGTAACTTCTCTCCTCCTCCTTTTCTTTCTCCTGAAAAAGGATACTGATACAGTGCTCTGGGTTTCTGACCACTCTCATACAGCTTTTGAGAGATAACCTGCTCACATTTTCATTTACTGCATTACATATGACTCCATGCACAACCCATAGTTCTAGTTTGTTTGAGGTGTGATGTGGTATAAATTTTTAAGATGATGTGTTTTAAGTAAATCAGCCCCTATTGTTTTACTTAATCCATCTGTGTTGATAAATGAAGACATTAAGAAAGATTTTGCTTTCAGGTTTCATTTTTATTTTATTTTACTTTGATTTCTTTGTGACAACATTATTTCTATTCTTTCTCACTGCATAAACATCACATCTCAGCCATGTTGCGGGTAAGATAAGTGTTGTTGAGAATCCTTTGCTGTCTAATAAACTCTCTTTAAAAAAAAAAAAAACCACAAAAGTTTTTATTGTAAATTCACTAAGTGAAGGTTTATAGGGCAGATCATCAGTTTACTTTCAACAGATCATTGCAGTGATTACAATCCTGTCTATGCACCATCATCTAACAGTATTTACCTCTATTACTTTTTTTTTTTTCTGGATATATACATACCACACTGAAAATATACATTCATTTAAATGTCCAAAGAATATTTTGCATACCAGGTACCTGCCCACGGGTATACTACCTTTCTCATTTTATGGGCCTATAGTCCTCTGCTGCTCTGTCTCTCTATGCCATCACCTTTGCCACCATTTCTGTTGTCACCACTTTCCTGGTTAGGATCCCTCATCGCTCCTCTCATACTCTTCCCTCTTGATGGTCCCAGAATCTTCTGTTCCTGAAATGATAGATTAGGTGTTCTCCCCCTTATAGTTACACCTCATCTACATTTACAGTTGTGGCAATTGCCATTAGTCCTGATAACTATTCACAATTGAATTGTAAATTCCTATGCCCATCATCACCAGACCCATCTGGACAAGAGGAAACTATTAGGTGGGGATTATAGCTTACCCTACTTGTTCTGACACTAAGCACCCTCCTGAAAGCTTGTAAGCCAGTCACTTCACGCTTTTATAGCCCCCAGATTTTGTAGCCTAAGTCTAAGTTGCCCATCCCTATCAACCCACTATACTGAGGAATCAAACTTCATCATTAATATGAAGAATCCTCCCCTTTTGGTTGGAATTTTGGGCAACTTCATCCTTAAGCAAAAGGTTCAGTTCATCAAGTTGTAGCAGTTTATGCTTGCTCCCTGTATCAAACTTCTTTATCTTCATCTGTTCGAGTTCTAGTCTGCAGGCCATCCAAGCTAGGTCTGTCTGCAAGTTTGGGAGTTCTTGCCCAAACTTTTGCCACTTCAGACCAGCTGGCTGCTTCACTCTTAAATCTAGCCCCTAGTGGCTAGGTCAGTGTCCTTGGGATCATGAGTTCACGTGTTTCCTTGAACTTCAAACCATCCAGCCCTTCCCCTTCTCTCTCTCATCTCAAGGTCAATGGGTGTTTATGGAACATGACCAAACTCACCCATGTCTTCATTGTTGCATTTCCCCCATGTCCCCTCACAAGTTGACCAGGGCAGTCACCAGCTAGCATACAATACTGTTAGTGTGCTCCCTTTGAGTTTCAGTCTTAGAAAGGAATTTGCCCTGGTGGACTGACTTTGCCATAGAGCAAATATCTTGCTTGATATT